TTTAGAAGAATGCCGATTTGGATATCCAAAAGAATTACACAATTCTACTATTATACAATCCGATGATAATAACCAACTAGAACTATTATTACATCGTAATGATCCATTAGTCAACCTACATTGTAGAATTCAGCTTCAAGGCTGAAGGGCCAATGTTGATATAAAGCCCGTTCTTTCTCTTCATGCTGCGCTCTCTTATGTTGCAAAATACGCCAGCAAATCAGAACCACGTTCTAAGACATTTGATGAAATATTTTCTGATTATCTTAATAGCACAAGACCCGATAAACCAGCTTTAAAGCCAATTCAGAAACTTTTATTGCATACAGTATCTGAACGGGATTTTTCTGCCCAAGAAACATCACATCTTCTTCTTAAGTTACCATTAGTTGTATCATCTAGCGTCTTTTTAATTCTTGATCTTAGTGAAGATGGTATGTTACGCAAACTAACTAATAATAACAATATACATAATTACAATAATAATAATAATTCGCCAATTAGAACCGAACTTTCTAATTTACAAATTTATTGGAAACGTTCTTCAGTATTTGAAGAGTTTTCTTTATTTAACTTAAATCAAAAATACATATATAATTCTACCACAAATAAATGCACTCCACGAAAAAAAAATTGCATTATTAGAGTTTGGCCCCGCCCATTATTAGTTTGCTTTGGATCATTATGGAAAGATTATTGTAGATTAAAAGTTCTTTTCCATATTCCTCATCAAAATATGTCTGACTTTGCTCAAGACAATACTAACATTGACTGGATCGAATTATATAATCAGTTTTCTAATGAAATTGAACTTGATGGAAATGATATTCTCGGTAAGCTAACAGATAATGAGGAAAACTGAGAAAGTGATAATGAATACGAATAACTCGATGAAAATAACGTTATATTTCAAGATCCATGGATACAAATAGCTACAAACAATTTACAAGCCATAAATGATAGCCTTGGAGAATGTTCTATGGATATTAATCATGTGTGGACAGGATCGTATGAGGCATTTCCAAATCTCAGTGAAGCAGCATCTTTTCTAGAACAAGCTAAACGTGACCAGATTGAAACTGCATTTTATAATAATAGCGACGAAACTTTTATTGATCCTGCTACTTTAAATAAAAAACAAAAGGAAATTTATGATTATGTAATTTCTTATTATTCTACAGTTCTTACAAGTTCAACTGATCAACCAATTGAACCCTTATGTGCTATTGTTATGGGCACAGCTGGTACAGGCAAATCTTATGTCATCAAAGCTATTCGTAATCGCATGATTGAATTAGCGCAAGAACATAACATTAATCCATATGAAGAACCACCAATATTAGTTCTTGCACCTACAGGTGTTGCGGCATTTAATATAAATGGTTGTATGATTTATTCAAGACTTTTCCTATCTACCAATATTAAAAATTTAGAACTCAAACCTGAAACTTTGAAAAAGCTTCAACAAAAATTAAGAGGCATTAAAGTTATCATTTTTGACAAAAAAAGCATGATCGATCGTAGACTTCTTGCTGTAATAGATCAACGTTTACGTCAGGCTTTTCCACAAAATCAGAATATGTTATTCGGAGGTTGCTCAGTGTTATTTTTTGGTGACTTTGGCCAGTTACCACCAGTTTTAGATCTCCCTATGTATGCATCAGATTCTCGACCAAATGATTCCCTATCAGAAGCAAGTCGTATAATATACACTCAATTTAATAAAGCATTTAAATTGGAAACAATACAATGACAAACTGGTGACTCTGAGGAGCAGTGTATATTTCGTGACCTTCTTTTGCGCTTGCGAGATGGACAATCGATGGAAGATGATTGGCAATTGCTCAACTATAGAATTTATTCATTAGTACTTTCAGTGGAAAAAAATATATTCGAAAATGCAATTCGATTATTTACTAAATGGGAAAAAGTTCATGAGTACAAGATAATGAAACTAAAACAACTCAATTCACCTGTTGCTAAAATAAAGGCCTTACATACTGGTTCTGAAGCTAGAAGAGCACCTTCAGATTTAACAAATGGTCTTGAGCCAGTTTTATTTCTATCAGTTGGTGCTCGTATAATGCTTACCTCTAATCTTTGGACCAATTAAGGATTGGTTAATGGCGCAATGGGTACAATTATTGATATCATATATGAGCTTGGAAAGAAGCCACCTTTATTGCCTACATTAATTCTGCTCAGAATGGACAATTATACGGGACCAACTTTATCTATGTCAAATAATTTACGGGTGGTACCAATTCGTCCAATCAAATATACATGGGAAGGAAAATTAGGAATCTGTTCTCGTATGCAATTTCCTTTGTGCCTTGCTTGGGCAATTACTATTCATAAATCGCAAGGCTTAACATTATCACAATCCGTAATAGATATTGGCGATAAGGAATTTGCTATAGGTCTTACATTTGTTGCTATATCAAGAGTTCGTGCCATTGCTGATCTTCTTTTTGGTAGTACTTTTCCTTATAATAGGTTACAAAAATTGGGGGAAAGTGCACGTTTGCAACAGAGGTTAGCTGAAGAACAGAGATTACTTTCTTTATGAATGAACTATTATTTATCTTTATGACTTTATAAATGAATTATTATGTTTTTCTTTACGACTTAATGAATATCCGTCTATTCGCATGCGAATTAATACAAACATAAAATATGCTGCTTATATTAATGAATTAAATTTTAATCATATATTATTTTGGTGATATTATATGAGCTGCAATACTAATTTTACAATTTATAACCTAGTATGTAATGCTCCAGCCCTATAAAACGTCGCCGTTTCATTACTAGTTGCTAAACTATTGAGATTTTTTTCCTCTTTAACATTTTATCGTTAAAACTTTAAGTACCGTACATATTTAATTACTCGTTAACATGATTATTACTGAAAATTATTTTCCAATGCTCTAATTTTAATTTTCGGGAAAATAATTGTCATGTTGAAGATAAAAAGCATTGTATATCTCATATGTCTTAAGTAAAAGTATAATTATAAAATTCGTCATGCATATATTATGTGTCAAATTAAACTTCGTCAGGCTTAAGTTTAAATATCATGAAAACCAAATTCACTAATCTTTCTCACCACTTCTGATTGGCACCACTAATTATTCACATATTGGAGTATCTAGGTTTTTAATTAGAGATTACAAGGTATTACTAGGGATATCAAATGATTTAAAACAGAGTATTTTAAATTAGTTTTATATTGCTTCAAACTGATTTTTTACATGGTTTAAAACATCGTCACCGATATTTTTATCATGTTTAATAATAAACAATGGTTTAAACCATTTTATTAAATCAAAAAAAAAACATAAAAATCACCAAAAACAATCCCTTGATAGCATAACGGGCTTTATCATGATTGGCTAAAACAGCCCATTTTTACATATAAACAATTTTGAGTAAATCGATTTTAAATAATGATCTACAAGTTCATTTAGCGAACCTTTTTATTATATAATTGGCTTTGGTAACTTATAACAAACTTTTTTGTTGAATATATATCTATTCAAAAATTAAATTGAAAATTTGTAAAAATGGGCTGTTTTAATAGATCACACCCCATATAAAGTCTTATTAAAGTAACGATTTTCCGTCACAAGAATGAAACCGCAGCCACAAATACGAAACTGCAAGGTTACGACAATATACTAAAGTAATTTGTAATCGGCAAGGTAATTCGGAAGTTAGATAAGTCAATTTGGCAAATAAACATAAAATATAAAATTTGCAGTCAGGATTTTCAAATTCGTGTAACACAGATCATTCTTCTTTTTGGTAAAAAATCTGCAATTCGAAAATTCTTTTTAATTCTATGGTACAAATTCTGTACCAATCATTGGCCGTATTTTTATTTGGTGCACAACCGCCTTTTAAAGCCTCGTGGATGCCGGTGGGTCCCAGTTGATCCATAGACAACATGCTTAGAGGATAACTTTTGCAAAAAAATTTTTAAGATTTTTTTTAAATTGATTTTTTTAGATATCAAAAACCGCTTTTTTTTTTAAATAGAAATCGACTTTAGAATGACATTTCAATATATTGCAGATCAATTTCTATATCAAGTAAAATCCCTGACTGTACTAAACTTCACTAATCTCTTATTTATAATTTATTTATCCTAAAGATAGATGCGTACTGCCAGTATAGTGGATAGTAATACGAAACAGAAAACATGAGTTGTGAACTTTATAAGAGGTTAAAGTGTAATGCTACATCTAAGATTACGCGTAGGACCAAACTTTTAACAACAGGTATTAGAGAACAATAGAGAAAACTGAAGGTCAGTGATATTTTTGAGCCAGAAATTGAGAGTGCATTTAGAGAGGTTGTGCGTTTAGAGAGAGAGTTCTTAGGGAAGTCTAACTGTATTTCTGTATTAGGACTAAAGTTATAATTCGGTGGTATTAGTTGATTGATATTATATTACTAATAAATTTTTTTTTTAACCTTATATATATAATAAGTTTTAGCTTTTTATTTAGAGTTTTTAATTTTCTTTTTTTTTATTTATTTTTTATTTAATTCGTACTGTAGTATTTTTTAGTAAACCCCTTGGATTATAGATTCTGTTTGTACCGAGATGTGGTCTTAAGTTTAAAGTTGTTGAGATTTTGTAGTAATGCATTTATTCACGCAATTTAAATATTTAGCTATTAATTGTTTTTAATATTTTTTTCATGTGACGGGATGATCTAAAAAAATCAGCCGATTACAATGAAAGCCTGCTAAGCTTCCCTACCCCCAAATGCTGTTTTATATAAAAATTCCGAATCCACTTAAACTCCGTTTCCACTTATAACATATACAGTGTTCCAATATGTTCAGAGTGAATCCAGCGTTACCAACAATCGAGGGCCGGTCAGATGATCTTTCGACATTCGCATGATTTTGGAAGCTATTATACGAATCCACCAGGGCGACCGCAAATTTTTCCTGGTCACGTGATAATGAATAAAACAATTTCGAATGTCTTGAATTTGTTAAGCCTAAAGTTAGTGCTAGGGTTTGAAATTGAAAACATATAGTAAAATTAGTCAAGGAAAAATTTTTATTAGAACGCAAAGACAGTTTTTTGTCAAAACGAACGTTTTCGTTGTACCAAACTTTGATTTCCCATTGGCTCCGATCATCGTGTGACCCGAAAAACTCATCATAATACGTATTCGTTAATTAAATTACAAATATACAATGCTGTTGTTTATTACCATATATACATGTATTATTTGTCAATTTATAAAATTACTTGTTGTAATAAGTCAATACATTTAAACTACCTTGCTACGGATACCAGCTTCATAGTGGAAAGAATTTCAAAAGAAATAGAATTCGTTAGCATCACAGTCTTGTAACTCCACGATAATAATGGACCCTCTGCTATAAATATGATACAAGAAATTTATAAAACAAGTGATGATAATGACAACCTTATGAATGAAATTGAGCAAAAGCATGCATGACTATGTCAAGTGTTAACGAGGTAACTTTTTATAATTGATATTTTATATTTTGAATTGGATTCAATATTAATTAATCAAATAAATTTATTTTTAAATTAGGCACAACATATTCTTAATGAATCAAAAGCTTTTCATAATTGCTTGAAATTTCTTGAAAATATGGAATCCAAATTAATGCTAGTTGAAAATTTTGGTGAAGACATTTTACAGCATGAAAAAGGCATACACTCCATGAACATGGAAGGATGGCAATGAAAATACGCAATACTATGGATATTTTTCATGTTATTATATAGTACTGATGTGCTTGATTTTGCAAAAAATATGAATATTTATTTTTCATTTTTATTGAGCGTAAAATCTTTTATAGCTGCTCGATACGATAGTATCGAGGCAGCTTTTGTCTCGAATCAGCCCGTAACCAGGCATGTGACATGCCCTATTACAGTCACATGAATGACGTGGCTTAGTATTTGATCAGTGTAATTATGAGGTAATTATTGCGATTAGTAAATTAGAGTAGTAATATTGACGTATTTGAGTTTATTCAATTTAGTATTTAACCATTGTAATGAATAGAGTTAGAGATAACTCTATTTCTTTTGCGAACCCGACTTTTAGTCTGGTTTTGTCCATCCCTCCCACCCTGCCCGTAACCATTGGGAAAGTATTAATTCGTTTAGTCTGACGATTGTGAAGGGATGGCCTGTTGTGACGACAGTCATCGAAAAGTTTATTATTGGTATTGTCACCTAATTCGGCATAGTGTATCATTAACCAGTTATGGCCTGTCGGGACGACAGTCATTTTAGAATTTGCAAAAAAAAAAAATAATAAAAATATCATTTATATATCGTATTCGATTCAATGAAATTTGCTTGGGATGCTCGACGCGGAAGGAATAAAACCCGTATGTATTTAGTCGTTAATAACAAGCGTATGAGAGGCAAAACAATTAATATTCAAATATGCGCGTTTTACTTGAAAAAAATAAAATTTAAAATTCGTCTTTTGGTCGATGGGACACTGCGCAGGCGGAATTTTACGGAAGCCCGGAATTCATCGGAATGTCGCGGAATTTAACAATTTTGGCCCGCATTAGCCGTAATGCAGGCACGTGAAGGCTGCGCAGTAGATTCGAAAAATCCTCGATTTTCCCATCTCTAATTGAGACATCGGAAAATCACCTGACTGTGCCTTCGATTGTTGGTAACGTTGGGACTTTTCATGTTTAGGCAAACATAATAACAGAATTAATAGTCAAACGTGTATAAATAGCTTTAAAGGGAATTTGAAACCCGATATATATGTGAGTTTCGAAGCAAGCTAAAAGTTTATGTAGGCCCTTAAAACTTTACATAGGTTACATTGCATGTATAATGATTTAAACCGTAATCTATAGTTTCTGTGATGTTCAGAAAAAAACCTCATAGCCATAAGGCCACTCCAAATTGATTTTTTATTTAACATAAAATAAAATAGCTCTTAAGAGGGGGGAGTATTAAAAAAAAACAAACTAATAAAAATACAGTAATTCTATTGGCTATAAAAAATGTATAAATTTAAAAACTAATACTGCAATTTGATTGGTTAAAAGGATGTTTTTTTTATATACGATTTTTTTAAAAATTGGGGGATTATGTTAAACAGAAAATTAAATTGGTCTGGCCTAATTAAATTCAATAATTCATAAGTAGATTTTTTTATTTAATTGGAGGCTATAATTATTTCGACAATAGTAACACATCATGTTGCTGCAAAAATTGAATTCTTTTACGAAAGGGGTACAATAACAAGAGTACAATAGTATTGTCCTATAAATATATCTAAATTTGAATAAAATACAATCTGATAAATTAATTTTAGCATGCAAGTACCCAAATGTAAGGTTATAGTAAGTAAATAAAAATCCATTCAACCAGCTACAATGTTGGGGCGCATTGTCTAAGACATCAACTTTTGCTTTAGATAACTAAATATTTACATTAATAAAAATTCATTAATAAAAATTCCCTATACATTTTTAATTTGAAAGTCGCCGAAAGAAAATGTATATGTTGAATAAAAAAACATTCAAAAAATATCTTAATATATAGTCATGTGGCCAAAGGAATTTAGCATTAAGCTCTGATTGTCGTCTAAACCACTTATGACTGATTTTTAAAGCCTTGCAGTCTGTCACACAAAAGTTCTATATTTAGAATTTACATTATCTATCGCTATTGGCGACATAATGAATGAGTGTTGTTAATGGAAATGTATATTCCAAATACAGAACTTTTGTATAGTTTGTATAACAAAATTAGGCTCACAAATAAGTATCTTTATAATGCATACGATTACGTAATCGGTCATAACTAGGTTGATAATTTACATAAAAATATTTTGTATGTAAATTATGACTATTTACAACCTATTACGTAAATATTTCTGCACCTCTACATGCGATCAAAAGTATTTAAGCTTTAATTGGCGTCTAAACTACTTGTTTGTAACTGATCTTTGGAAATTCCATGTTTAGAATATACGGTTTTTCTTGGCAAACTCAAATAAAATATAGTTTTTACATATAGTTTAATTAAAATTACAATGCATAGTACGGATTTTGCCGTAATCGCAACCATAACTGGTTGTCGTAAAATTCATTAGGACGAATCTACTGCATCATAAATATTGTCTTGGCGATCAGCGATTATCAATTCATCTTTCCAAAAAAAAAGCTCAAACGAAAGGGAAAAAAATTATAAATATATTCAAACCTAGACGAATGACAAATAATAGTAACTAGATCTTATTGATCTGTATTCAATAATTGGATTATAGGACTAAAGAATGGTGATACTTAATTGTCACACTTAATAATTTATTAAGAATCAAATTTGTTTAATAGATCACAACGTCTGTTATTTACCTTTAATCCCATCATTATTTGCATTTAAAGTAATTACAAATAAAAAATTGCTATTATTTTCTAAAATATATCTTTATAAAAAGATAATGCAATTTCTTTTTCCGAATTTTCAATAGATTTTGATTGTAGAAAAAATTGCAGTCTTTTAATTTAGATTCAAAAAAAGAGGTTTAGACAAAAATCTTGAATAAAATCATGACAAGGTCATTATCCCGACATGTTTGCCTGCATTTTAACCCAGATCCAAAAAAAAGGCCTGTTCATATATGTAACACTAAATAATGCATAATTCATCATTGAAATGTGGCACAATGATTCTATTAATTAATTTCCTTTTCACTAAGAATATTGTAGTACCAATGGTGATTATGTGCCTGACAGCCAATAAATTTGTAAATTCAAACGGATCAACCCGACGAAGCAGAAACAGCAAACGCCAGAAATATAAAAACGGAAGTTCAGGGAGGCGGTTTTACCTGTAAGTCTCGTTATAATAACCTTAATCCTCATATGTATTTTTGATGTTTTCCAAATATAGGCAATTTGAAAATGGACAAATATTTGATTCGACGAAATAGTTGTATAGATTAATTAATGAATTTGATCAAGGGATTGTTTGTTGATTATACACATCTATCTTGATTACTGGTTTAATCTGAACAAACAAACTTTCAACATACATATATATAACTTAATGAGCAGATTATCCGTTAATTAAATTTGATATTGTCAATTGCTTGCATTTTTATATAACACCTTCTTTCTTACATTTTTAATGCTGTACGTTTCGAATCTCTTTTAACACATTACTCTACAATAAATAATGGCTTTTGTCATTCCAGTAAATAGAGATGAATTCATCTTTATAGCTCAACTATGTATTCCTTTGAACATCATTTCTCTTGTTTCTAGCTTTATATTATTAGTGATATTTAGCTTTATACAAATATACTATTCTAATCTTGCTGATCGGGTTTCATTTCGTTTAACTTTTGCGGCTTTATTCTTTGATTTATGTTATACCTGTCATCTTTTAATGTGGTTTGTTTGGGATCATCCTTCTGATTTTTTGTGTGCATATGCGGTAAGATACATATTAGGTTTCTTTTTCATTAACTTGTTTTTTTTAAAAAAAATTTCCTTAACTTTTTTTATTTATTTAAGACTTGGGGAACCGTATTTTTTGGTCTTACTTCTTTATTCTTTATTGTTTGCATAGTTTTGGTATGTATTATAGATAATTGTATTTTATTGTGTTCTTTATCCTATAAATATAAATATATATTTCATTTATCTTTTTTTTTTAATTTATTCTTAGAACCTTCATATAATATTTGTAAGCGAATATCGAATTCGGTTTAATTTTGAAAAATATTATTTTATAATTTCATTCTTATTGGCCTTATTTCTTTCTCTCCTTCCTATTTCTGCTAATATGTATGGTTATGATGATGTCGAATTGTATGCATAAATGTTTATTTATTTCATACTTTTTTCATATTTTATTTCATACTTATTTTTCAAATTTATTTTTATTACAGATCTTGTTGGTATCGAGATTCAGGTGAAGAACATAGTATAATATGGCAATGGATTACTTTTTTCGGTTGGGTGGATGTGTCTATCTTATATTGTGCAGTAATTATTACTATGGTTATTAGAAAACTTAAATCTGCGACAGAAAACGATGTTTTGGAATCTGCTCCAAATTCTATGAAATCTTGTCATCACTCCTTAATTAATCAGTCTTTGGTTTTTTCGGTTGTTAGAAGGGTTGTGTGGTATCCTCTTGTGCCATTGATTGTTCAATTTTTTAACTCTTTACTTGAAACCTACGCTTATACTCATAAAGTGGTATCTTTTCCTCTATTATTACTTTGCAATGTTTGCTTATCACTTCAAGGTATATATGCATTATATATATATATTCTATATTACTTTATAATTTTTGATTATTTGATTTTTTTCCTAATTTTTTGCTTCTTAGGGTTACTAAATGCTTTAGTATTTTCTCAAGACATTGCCGTTAGTCGTGCCTACCATGATATTAAATTAAAATTATGGATCTCCAATGTTAACCCTTATGAATCACACTATCCTCATCTATCTCACAACAAAGCCATTACCAATGAATTCAGCATGTCTTTAAATTGCAATAAGTCTGATATCATTAAGAAAAATGTTATTTTTGATGATATTGCAGATATAATCAACATCGATATTGACAATAATATTACTAATAACAATATTTTGAATAGTAATGTTGTTAATAACAATACTACTAATAATAGAGTTATTAATAACAATAATAATGCCTTAGTTATACAACCTTCTTCTTTAGAATGGTTAAAGTACATGATATTGATTAAACTTTTCTCGGTTCCGAGATTTTCTTCTCGAGTAATATCTCTTAAAATTTTATCACAGATCAATTCTTCTGAAAATAATCAAAATAACGATTCAAAATGTGATATTATTCTTAACAATCAAAATAATGATATTCATTTAATTCACCCTGATCCTGTTCATTTAAAAGATTCTTCAATAGATTTTTTACCTAATGATTCAAATATATTACCTATATCTGATCCTTTAATAGGTAGTTCTAGAATTAATCAACATAACCCAACTAATATAAATAACATAAATAGTGTACATATATCAACCTGTACGATTGATGTGGATGAAAGACAGATTGACGTTATGCATGTTAATGATGAATCAACAAAAAGTGTATCAGATGAATTGACAAAAATATTGAATTCAGATAATCAATTATCTGAGGAAATTGAATCGCATAAACTAATGTTAAGAAAAATATAAAAAAAAAATTTTTTATTAAAAATTTTCTTAATTTTTCTTTAGTGTATAAAACACGGGTATGATTTGTAAATCAAAATTTAAGATTAAATTATAATACAAATTTAAGATTAAATTATAATACAAATTTAAGATTAAATTATAATATAAAAAAATTTAAGATTAAGTTATAATATAAAATTCAAGATTAAATTAGATTAGGCTTTAATGTTAGGATAAGATATGATTTGTATTAAAATTTTGTAAGGTAACTTTTTTTTGTTAAAATCACTAAAGGTAGTTTTAATATAAAATTTTAAGTATCCGTGTTTGATTCACTAATGTACAAATAGTAATTTCTTTTTATTAATTATTGTAAAAAAATTTTTTATTTAATTTCTTATATTTGTAATTAGTATTAGGTGTTAGGTCAATTGTTAAACGATGGGTTAGATGTAAACATTTTTATTCTATAATATTTGTTTTTACTTTAATGAAACTTGCAATATTAAGTAGTAGACATATTGCTAATATACCATAATGTATAAAAATAATAAAATAATTATATAACAACTTTAGTCTAAAATAAATCAATAGTAGTAGGCTTAAACAAATTACTATTATTAAGTAACTATAAAGTTACTTTATAGTTAATTGAAAACAAAAATTTTGGATATAGGTTTTATAAAAAAAACGTAAGTGTGATATTCAATTCTGATGGGCGTTTTCCATCTAAATTAGAACGGAATTACCGAATCGTCGCAAAATAATGCCCCAGGGCGTTATTTGCTTGAAGAGAGCTAATAATTAATTTAGCCGAAGACTTTTAATAACCAAAAAATTATGATTTTCATTTATTTAAATTACTAATTAGCTCTCTTCAAGCAATATGTCTCGAAATAATACACCGGGGCGTTATTTTGCGACGATAAGGTAGTATTACATCAAGTCGGGAGATTTCTAAGACAAATCTGCCAAAAATCAGCATTATAATATTTGTTAATAGTATGCTGATTATCAGCAGAGTTAAATGCTTTGTAGTTGTAGTGCACAAACTCAGTCTTATTTTGTTAACATAACTTTAGCATAAAACTTCAAACTAAACAGTGCATACAGTTTTGAAATTTTAAATATGCATTTGACTTTAAGATTTTCAATTCAGAGCCAAACAACTTACAGTATTTTGTTAACAAAATTTTGTAAAAACAAATCATTTTGTATAATTAATTTTTTATCCAATCAATAATATATTTAGCTTACAAAAAAAAACACTTTTCTGTAGATCACAAAATACTAAGTAAACAAATAATCAGCAAAATATATACATAAAAATTTACAAAGTAAAAAGTTTTTTAGTAACTAACAGCTGCTTCTAGCCTTGGGTTCACAGTTTATAGACAAGATAAACTAGAAAACTCAGACAAGATTAAAAGAAAACAAAGCAGAACCAACAATACTTTAACAAACAAAGAAAATCAACATAAGTCAGTAGGCTTTTCATTTATATTTTTCTTTGAAACTATACTAAAATTATAAATGAAGAAACAAATTACAAATCCTTATAATAACAGTTCTTCAAAAAACAGAACTAGTATTAAAAAAGACTTCATTTACTCAGATACACTAACAAAAAAATGATGAATTCTTCTTCCAAGATTCCAAAACAATACAACAAATAGGTAATCTAGCTTATTTCTATTAATTTCAATTATGATATTATTATATACAAACAATAACAACAACAAACTTATACAAACTAATTTTGATAATATATTGAGAGAATTAACAAATCTCACACTCCTAACAAAACCCAATTTAGAAAACCCTAATATCAAAGATAACCTAGACTATATAGATAACTAATATAACAAAGAATATACAAATATAGAGAATAACCACATAGATATAAAATCTGTTGTAATTATAGACAACAATTCAGAAGAACACAAACTGCTTACTTATAGCAAAATAAACCAAAAAAATATTTTTATATTTAACAAAATGCAAACTAAGGTGGAATTAGATTACACTCAAGAATGAATAAATAGTATATATGATAATCTACAAAATAGAATTATCTAATCTTTTGATAAAGATAGTTTTGAATATGATGAAATCATTACAATGCTCAAAACAAAAAAAAAATTTTTTAACTTTATAGTATACAAGTTGTAAACTAAATTAACTAACTTCTCTTTTTATTTTGTAATTAAAACAAAATTCAACTAACAGAACTGTGCCTTCTTTTTTATATTTATAAGAAATAAATAATTCATATCATTTCATTAAATTATATATAAAGATCTGTTTAGAGAAGCAATCAAAAATTATAAAACACAACATGAAATCACAATTATAACAAGAGTAATTAAAAATATCATATATGCAAAGCTTAGACAAAAAATTATAATTGATTACCTTACTAATACAAATTTTACAACAAATATAGCCAAAAATATATGTTATTTAATTAAATATTACAAAGGTTTTACTAAAAACAAAACTTCAATTGAATATAAAAAAATATAAGAAGCAGTACTTAGGATGTAATGACTTAGTGAAGTGAATAAGTTGTTATATCTCCAAGTAGTAGGTTATAAGTTTAAAATCTACTAACAATAAAATTTGGATAATCACCTATGTAATATATAGACAATATTACAGTAACAACATTTTGTTGATCAGTTGGGATAGGATATCTGTAACTATGGTTACACCAGCATAATTGACAGGTTTGGGACATCTGTGTAACAAAAGTTACACAAAGAAATGCAAACTGGTACCAGGCAGTGCAAACTTAAAATAAGTTCTTGAGCTATATAAATCTGTAGAACTGAGAAGCCAGAGCTTTTTGGAAATTCCAAACAGAGAGGTAACATAAATTTTCGACAATACTACTATAAAGGCTAGATCTAGGAAATGAATACCAATATAAAGGATTCAGGCAGATAAGAACCTTGGATAAGAGGTATTACCAACTAGGCCACCAGATTTCGAACTAGAGAAAAAGGATATTGAACTGACCTTAATATACCAAGGACAGATCATAGTTCTTTTAGGCTATCTAAATTAAAAGTCTGAGATCAAAGCAAAGATATACTAAAATTACTAGAGATATGCTGTAAAGTTAGCACCAGAGTCTAAGTGAACTCTGTAAGAGTAGCCTTTGTTAGTGTTCTAAAAATAAGTAAATAGTTAACAATGAAAAGCCCTTTGCACCTTATTAGCAGATAATGTATTCTGAAATATGTAACAGTTTAGAAACTAGTACAAAAAGAGTAGATACTATACTGCTCAAATGGTATACTGGTTAGGTATATATAGGGAGTAAGTTGAAATTACATTATGACAGGATAAATGATCAGAAGGTTTAAATAAATAATCTTCTAGTAGGTTATAAGTATGGTATCTAGTGTAGAACCTTAGAGTAGACTACTTAAATAGGCAACTAAAAGTTACATGCATGACTAGTTGTATTCTTACTTTGTAAAAATATTTGTAATAGCTAATCTAATAAAAGTTAATAAGTATTATTATAAGTATGGCTTTAACAAAAAAAAAAAAAAAGAGGTGTGGCGACCTAGTGAAGTGGATAAGTTGTCAACCCTCAAGTGGCAGTTCTAAGGTTCAATTCCCACGGACAACGAATTTTGGAAATTATAACTGTATTATGGTAACTGTCTCTTGCCAATCGGTTGGGTTTTGGGCATCTGTAATTTTAGGTACACCAAGTTGGGCCTCACCTGACATTGGGAGCTTGGGGCATCTATGCTAAGTGTAATGTTACATGGTACATGTACATAGAGAAATGTAAAACCAGTGTCATATAAGGCTTCAGGCAAATCCATGATAAGACCACCAGGCATAGAAGCCTAAAAAACTGAAGAAATGAAAACTCACTTGGAAATCCTGAGTAAAGAGGTAGCACAAACTTTCGATGGTGCCATTGGACTGATGGAAGCCCATGAAACACCTTCATAGAAACTGTTAGATAAACTGGATAACAAAGATGTGTAGAGAAGCACATGACCAACCAGGCTGCCAGAATCGCCAGAGGAAAAGGATACATAAGTATACCATACCGGGCAATTTGGATTGGGAGTCTGGGGAGTCAGTTCCGAGTTGTGGCTAGTAGGAAATGATGGAAAAGAAGTCGGAAAGATGGGTATCAGGATTTGGGTGAACTTTACAAGGGTAATAGTAGTTTAAGGGGTAACCCTAACTGCAAGTGTTGGCTCTGGTCATAGCATCAAACCAGGTTAGCAGTAAAAGAGAATACAGCTTGCTCTGATAGGTTTACCTTGAGGATAAAAATAGTCTAAGGATTATAGTCCTATGGTCGAATATGAATAGATCTGGGTCTGTGATCTGGTAAAATTAATACTAGGATTAGATTAGAGGGTTTAAATAGAACATCTAAGCAGGGGTGTTAGGTATAGCAACTGGTGGAGAACCCTTGGGCAGACTCCTTAAATAGGTAATATAGAAAAGTTATATGTGTAGCCAGTTGTACACTCGTTTAATAGTTCATTATAGATATGTCTATATAAAACATGTACCTACTATAAGTATTAATAAAAAGCTCAAACTAAAGAGGTCACCTTAATACCAAAAAAAAAAAAAAAAAAAGCAGTACTGAATGCCTTTTTCTCACAACTGGCTACTTTTTTAACAGATCTAAGTGAAATACTACAAGAAAATCTACAAATACTTCTTTTTGAATTTTTTATAAAACAAAAATTATAAACAAAAGTTATTGTAACTAAATTATATAGAATTTACAACTTTACCAATTGTCAGAAAAATATTTTGCAATCTTAGACCCAATACCAAAAAACATATATGAATTATATCTGAAAATAAGAGACTTTTTTTCTATTACAGAACATAGCCAATTAAATAATTTAGTATACTTTAAAAAGAAACTACAAAACTACTATGTCTGTAATAATATACTCTTCAGTTTCTTTAACTTATCACTACTGAAAAATTACTACTATTGGCATATTAGAACCTAAGTAGCA